TTAAGTATAAATGAAGTTAGGCCACTTTCAAACTACACGGTTCGATTATTAAACTAACTCTGAAAACTTATGTGTCCAGAATTATCGTATTTGCTCGGATTATAAGCAACCTGAAATGCTTTACTGATAAATAACATAAAGTTATACACGAAATCATGATAACCGGAAAAAAACTGAAAAACGGAGTTAGGCCACTTTCAAAATAAACGGCTCATATATATTTTTACAAGTTACAGAAGTTAAATACTTTACACGTTTTTCCAAACCTTTTTGTTTTGTTTTTCAAAGAAAATTTTGAACAGAAAGAAATCCTATTTTTATATATTTTGTCTTCGAATTTACACCGATAGTTGAAATGTTTTCGTATGAATCTTCCGGAGAAACGGTAATAAGAAATGAAAAGTATTATGAAGTAAACGTTTACAGTGTGTTATAAAAAGTCAGGTTGGGGACGTTAATATCTGTCCGTTCTCGATCATAAAGCGTTTTATTGCTATTGCACCGAGGTGAAAAAGGAATTTGCAATTTCCACTGAACGGTCGTAGTCGTACGTTCGTAGTCGTACGTTCGTATCGTTGTTGAATCTCTCTATTATCTCGAAAAAGAGAAAAAGAAAGAGAGAGAGAGAGAGAGAGAGAGAGAGAGAGAGAGAGAGAGAGAGAGAGAGATAGAAAGAAAGAAATAAATAAAAAAAAAAAAGAAAGAATGAGTTCTCGACTGTTGCCAAATGACATCGATATCGTTATTTAAGAGATTTACAAAATGACTCTATTGTCTTTTTTTTTCATTCATTCCTTTTTTTTTTATTTTATTTTATATGTGTTACACAACAGGGACGTTTAGAAACGTATTTCAAAATGGTATCATGACTTTCATTTTCGATAAAAAGATAAAAAGAAAGAAGATTTTTTAGCACACCACGTGTAGCACGTGTCCCAGGAGTAAAGGGTTAGCTAGGTCGAGTGCCAAGTAAATATCGTATGTAATGCACTATTATGCAACTCTCCTGAACTAGCTGATATTTTCTACTATTATAATATGCTCCTTGAATGTTTCATCTATTTGTATGATCATTTCATATTTTATTTTATTTTTTGTTTTATTTT